ATATCATACCGTTAAAACATTCAGTCTGAAAAGTGGCCTCAAAAACGAATTCGACTAGACAACTTTTACAAATAAGCACAACTTTTGCCTCAGTGTACGCTTGGATAAGTTATTTTATAATAATTTTTACAAGCAAAGCTGGAAAAAAAATAAAGAGCCACGCTTGGAGTAATATGAAAGGTCGAAATAAATTCGTGCGCGAATAAGGAAGAATGAAATTCCTTGTATATACATACATACGTGGCTGCAGCTTATAACTGTGTGTAAAAGCGAGAAGACGACGACGGGTGTATATACGTCAGGAGCTCCCGCGTTAGATAAGAGGGTGAAAGACGACCAAAGAATGAGCGTGAGTATGTGCTTGCGTATGTGTGAGAATAGATGTGTGTACATACCCGCACATACGCATATAGAAAGTAAGGAAAGAAAGCACAAGCCGAGTACAATTAAGTTCGCGCCCTCGGGCCTCGTTCCTCTTCTTATTCCTTTTTCACACTGCTGTATATATAAAGCCATACGCTCGCTCGCGGATTACGAAAATTTATTTTTTTTCTCGCCTCTCGACTTACGCTGCTATGCAGGACTATAGTACATTCCGTATGCTAGGGTGTACGTGAGCGTGGCTGTGTGCAACGTGTCGGTACAGTGGCTTGCTTTTTTACTTTCTTTTCGGCAAGTAATTTTTCGCAAACGCGTCAGACATGATCGGATTGGATTTACCCACGAATATGAACACATTGTTTTCGAAGCGGTGACTTGTGGCGCTCTTGGAAACGAATATTATTTTTTATAGGCATAAGGGATACCCTTAATCATCATAAAATCAAATGTTATTAGAACACAGAATTAGGCCCGGACAAGAACTAGATTACCGAAAAATATCTACTTTCAAATTTTAAATTTTTTATAGTTTTTATCTATCAAGAATGATAAAATCCGTAACAAATTAATAACTTCAATTTAAAATAAATTCAAAACAAACTTAAAAATGGTTTACCTGCAAATTCCGTTATTATTTCATATTTTTCCACATAGAGCTTATCTCTGTTTTTCTGCTCTACGAAAACGTTGAAATATTGAATAAGTCTGCCTAATATGTATGCCCTACTATCCGCGTATGCAAATATGCGCAAGTGTATATTCAGAACATTGAACTCTCTTTCTCTCTCCCTTCGCACGTCCATCCTTCGCTTACATGAATTTGTCTCTTCGAACACACATACAATGCTTTAGAAAATGTTGCCCGCCACACACACACGCACACACGCACACACACACACATGTGCATTATATTCGGTATATAACGGAGCTGTATGCGTGAACGACCGTTCATATTATAGCTTACTCCCCAAAGACTACGTGTGCACCGCGTATATAACAGCGGCAGCAGTGAGTCTATCACTCGTGTGTCAGGCGCGTTAAATATATATCTATACGTGTGCATATAAACTCAAGCTTTTTGAAAAGACTCGAACGATGGAAGAAGTAAGAAGAAAAGAGATGCACTCACACGTATGCGCATACATACACCCACGAGCTAGCTGCAAGTTCCCAGCGAAAAGCGATAGATGCCGAGGCTGCTGCTGCTGCTGCGCCTGTCGCACGCCACGAGCTGGCCCAGTGAGCGTGAAATTGCATATTAAAATCAAGTATACGCCAGCTCGTATTCTTCAAGGCTTTTCTCCTATATATTTGCAGGCCTTGCGAGAGTCTCTGCATCCTCGGCGCGTCGCTATACCGATGCTCTTTCGGATAAAAAACTGCTGCGTTAAGTGCTTTATGTATTGGATAGCCTACGAGAATAGAGATTCTTAAGTAATGAGACTTTTTCGAAAGCTCGCTACGTGTACGGCTGCGCGTCGAGCTACGTGAAATATGTGCTTCATTAGATGGACTTTTCCAACAGATTGGCACGATGGAGATGTAATTTTTTAGCGAACAATCTTTCCGTGAACTGATTGGCGCATTATTGCTTACTGTGCGCGAGCTTGCATTCATTTTTAATAGCAAAATATGTTTTTCTTTCTCGGATTTTTTTCTTTTTTAATGATTTCCCTTTACATTTTTTCAATAAAACTCGTTCCGAGAATATTTTAATAACTGCTGGATCTAAAAAAAAGTAAACTTTTTAGTTAGTTATATTTCTCTAATGAGAAAATACTTCAATAAAAATTTATGTTTATTCAGTGAAAACAATGTAGCTGCGTTGAATTTTTTCACATATAACTGTTAGGAAAAAGAAAATAAGTAAAAAATTAAATAATTTTTATGAAAATTCCATGTGATTCTCTCATTACAATGAAAGCAGAAAATTTTTCTGTATAAGTTTTCTTGGCGCTGTTGTTCTGAGCAATTGAATTTTCTGGTATAAAAACAATAAAGAATGTGAAATGGAATCATCAATTAAAAAACAGCGACTCGTCGCTGTTGTATTAGAGTGTAATTTTAACTTACATTCGTAATATGGTAATAAATAGTACTTCTTTAATATACGGTAATAAGCCATTATTTATAGCTACATCTATAGTTTTCGATTTACCAGCAAAAGTATGAATCTCAAATAAATACCAGTGAACCTTAACATAAATGTTCAATCAAATTTAATAGAGCGTTACCGTGTGATGTTGAACACGCGTACAGTAGAAGTTCAAACATCGCAAATAAATCATTTCAATTCCATTTTCGTCGCAGAAAAATAATTTTGGTCGAATGAAATATAAAACTACAAGGAGCAAGGGCATTGATGAATTACAATTTTTACACGTGATAATTATGCAAGAATGAGATAATTGTTCTGAGTCGTCATCTCATCCTCTTCGTCTTCGCCGGTAATATTTAATTCTTGTCTCTTTCTTCATATTTCGATGGCTATTTCAATCACCTACTGTTCTGGCTGTTTTGATTTATAGTGGGAGTGGGAGTGTGTTTAAAAACAGTTTAGCCCTTTTTAAATTTTTCTCATTTTTTCGGTGTAAAGAACTGCTTGTACACTCTGATAACTGATTATACTTTCGATTAGCACTTTGCATCTAGTCAAGTATGAATGTCTTCGTGTGTGTAGGTTTACGTCTTAACGTCCGTCATCTATGTGGACTAAAAATATTCGAGCCTACGTTGTAATTGGTACACGAAGTAAGCTATAACAATGTATTTTAGTATGCAATCATCAAACTTATCATGCAACCAGCCACTCTTACCTACCTGTATGAAATTTCGTGGATTTTTCTCCTAGCTCAGACTTAAAAAGCTCAAAATTTCGCTGATTTGGATTGTAGCATTTAATATCTTAGCCGAAGTAATTGAATTGAATAATTACCGAACATAAAATGTTGAGGTCTTGTTAACATAGGCAAAAATAAAATAATTTCTCCAAAAATGATATTATACAAATATCGTACAAGCTTTTATAATTTATTTAGAAAGTCGAAATAAGCCGTTAATTTTTAGTAATCGATAAAATTGTCAGATTCTCTAATAACGCAGCGCTGCGTGCGTATCAGCTCCGACTTCGCCTGCAGCTTTATAGCTGAAAAGTCTGGGCACGAGTTATTTCAATGCTCGCTACGTGCAGGTGTACACAATATACGTATACGATATAGAAGCGCGCATTCGGCGCGCGTACGAGTTGGAAAATCAATGAAATTCCGCGAGTCGTGCGAAGCATATACAGCATAATGCAAAAAGCCGCACGAGGACTTGCTGCGTGCGTATATATTACGCGCATTATCCATTGTGCGTATATCGCTGAGCTCGCGCGACCGAACGTGCTATAAGCTTGGGTGTGTGTGTGTGTGTGTAGGTGTGTGTCTGTGTGCGTGCACAGGCTTGCTAATCACGAGCGCGGGCGACGGCTATATACCGCGTACAATGTTGACTCTTCCGCGCGTGTGCTCGGCCTGTATTATGAGCTCGCTGATGAGGCTGAGAATGGCTGCACACAAGCCCACATAGCATACACACATGCATGTGTACCTGTACATAATGGCCGTCTATTAGGCGCGATCTGCACGTTTCTCTTTTCTCCCGATTAGTTGCGCGAACAGCTGCCTCTATTGCTGTTGCTACTGCTGCGACTGGACGCGCATCGGTTATTTCAATCATTTCGCGGACCTATTGCGAGCATCGATCGTATATAATACCTATTTGGATAACTTCATTTTCTTTACTAAGGGCCGAAATCATTTCATTCATATTCTCAAATAAGCAATTGGCTACGTAAGACAAAACGAAACAATTACAAATTACAGATAACAAGTGTTACTCTACTCAAATAATAAAAAGCGCTTAAAATAAATATTTAAGATAGTGACTAAGGAAATAATGGAGTGAAAATATCTGCACTGCGATATACGGATCTAAAGAAATAAATCTCAGTTTTTATAAAAATAATGATACTTTCTTACATTGGAACGTCGCACTTTCGTTTCAGCTGCTGAAGTTATGAAAAAAAAAGAATGTTTTCATTCCAAGGATCATCAGCATCGAACGTGTACAGCTCCCCCAACAAATTCTTATCTCCTCGTCATTTTCTTCGGGTCCAAATCGTCGTATTTCATTCCGCGTCACGTATGCGTTCATTCACGTGAACGAGAAAGTTGTTCAGCTAGCGCGTGGCTAAGGAAATAGGGAGTAAGAACGATGGCCAAAGTAAACTAGAGTATATACTGCAAGTAAACAACTGCAAAAGCACACGTGAGCTTGCGTTCTCGCAAAGAAATGCAAGCACGGAGGAAACGGCGATGCACATTTACACACACTCGATCTTGTCAGTGCAAAGTCAGCTTTTTTGTCCATCCTCTACAGCTGTTCTTTTTTATTCGATACATGCAAGAACGGATCCCGAGATAAGATACGCTCATTCCTATGACCCAATTTGCAATTTTATGTTACCATATCATCATTGGACTACCTTCCTTTTCTACAATTTGTTGTTTCAGCTGCGTATGTATTCTAAATTTGAACATTTTATTTGTTCTAGGTTTGTACTGCTAGCCACTGCAATTTGGTATAAACAACAATTCTACTTCATTTTTGTGAATATTCATCATTTGTTTGGCAAATTGAAAAGGTATTATCGTGAGTGTAATATTATTTTAGTTCATTTGAAACAATATTAATTGGTGTGGTTATATTTAGAGTATAGAAAACATAGTGAAAGCAATCACATCTCGATTTTCAATCAATCAAATCATGGCAACTTTTAGTTCTAACTCAAAAGTACATCTCACATGTAGAGATAATGTTAATCATACACCTAAAGCCCTAAAAGTGGTCACGTACTTTTAACTTTACTTGTTTATCAAACATTATAGCTCAACTGAGCGAAGTACATTTCATCCGTTATATATTATACATCCTTATTATAAAAATATGTTTTGAGGGGCTCATATAACGCTTGAATTACATTGATTTATTAAGGGGACACATACACATTAAAATCGAAATTTTTTTATAGGATTTTTGAGTAGGAATTTTCCTACCCTTTCTATTGCATTCAATAGAACTCCAAAACTTCAAAACTTCTTTTGCGTTTTCTGGCAAGCCATGTTTCTAGTTACCTGTCATAATTTTCAGAGAATATTAATTGAGCTTCAGCACTAGGGTCGTGTACACTTCTTCAGAACATCAATGGTTACGGTCAGTACCTCGGATAAGACGGTCGAAAACACAGGGTGCTCGGTGTGTATAGTTAGTGGTAAAGAAGAAATAGTATATTACGTGCCTAGGGAGTGAAAAACTGGAAAGCCTCAGAGCACGTGTAATTATCGTCCGAGGCGAATCCGAGGCTTTCTTTTTTCGACTCGCTCACCATCGCTAAAAAAATGCTGGAAAAATAATTTTAATACGTAAATCGATAGATTTTTTCCTCTACTTTCGATTGGTCATGTTAATTTTGAGGTTAAAATTATATTAAATTAAATGAAAAACCGGTACGTTTATAATACGAGAAAACGACTTTTTTATTTAATTTAATGGAAATCAACACTCGTCTTGTGGCACGAGTTTTTTTCTTCATATAAGCTAAAATTTTGCAGAGATTATATTTTTGGGGATTCGAAAACATTGAGGGGGCGTCCGGTCGATTTAAAAAAAATCGATTTTTTATTGTCAGTCTAATATATATGTACTTATTATAGAAATGGAAAATCAAAATTCTATTGCATTTGCAAATAGAGAGAAAGAGAAAGAGAGAGAGAGAGAGAGAGAGAGTGATGAAAAAAATGGGGAAGAGAAAAAAGATACACACAGACATCACACATTTACCTGCAAGCACACGTACACGCATGGATCAACTGAACTCTCGACCTCGTAAAATCATGATATAAAATCGCACTGCGAGTAAAAACCATAGTAACGTTATGTATTGTATGTTTATATTCATCCGTGAGGATACGTAAGACTAGCGTATATGTATCTACGTATAGAAAATACGCATGTATTTTAGAATGAAATAAATTTTAAATTTGTATTTAATGATGATACGGCAAATTGTAACTGGATGCTACGATTCTATGAACTTTTGTTATTATTCTTTACTTTACTTTGCACTCAAGTTTAATAATTTTACCAATGCTATTGTTTAAAGAATTTAATACAATAACGAATTTCATTGATAAGTAGATCAAATTATTTCGTGAAAGGGCTATCTATGTTTTGATTTAATCGCAGCAAATAATTTACACGATATCACAACAAAAAATAATTTTAAAAAAAGTCCGCAAGTACATAAAATGGTGGCAAAGTTTTCAAAACTCCCATAAAAACCCGAGCTCGGTACAGCTCTCGACGTTTCTATTCAACGTCACGCACTTTTATTAGACTTTAAAGTATGCATTATCGGAGCTTGCAGTTATTTTTTGCGCGCAACCAAGTACAGGCAAGCACACTGAAGCGACGTAGATGTATCGAAAGAAAAAAAACGCGTAGTCTCAATGCAAGGCAGCGGCTCATGCATATGATGCCACTGCAGACAAACTCTTCACTCTTCCCTTGTGCTTGTTAGGACAAAAACAAAAAGTTATGTTTTCACACCACAACCCTTTTTCGACGTTGCTGTACTTCTAAGGGAAAAGTTGTAGCGGGTGGCTCTGGGGTACTTTGCCGTATCCGCGTCGAATATCGGAGAGAAAAAGAGATGTTGCGCACGCATATGAAAATGAAGCGAGATAAGAAGAAACAAACAAAACAAAAGGCTTTACATACCCAGGAAAAGTAGAAAGTAACTCTATACATGAGATATAAAAGACAGAGAAACTGAAAGGAGACACGTGCATTCTCTGCCAATTTTTTTCGAAGAAATTTCGTTTTTGGAATAGTAAATATCGAGCGAAAAAACGATGGATTTTGTAGCTTCAAAAAGTTTTATACTGACTTGAGAAAATATTGATTCCATGTAGGAGTTTTCTAGCATTTCGAGTACTTTTTAGACTTGTACTACAGAATATAGAATCAATGTAAGTACAAAAACTTCTCTGCAGATTATGTTGATGTTAAAGTCAGTTATTGTTCTTATCGTTTTTTTTAATAATAATAAATGTGTCAGTGAAAAAATTTTAGAACCAATAAGCAGCTGTATAAGAAAAGAAGCAAAACATGAAACTTCTTCATAAAGTTATTCTTTCCTGAAAATAAAATGCAGAGGTAACATTCCGTCCATACATGACCACATTTGTTTTGGCGCCCTTTCTGAGCAGCAATTGGATAAGCTTTTCATCAAATGAGTCCCCAGCTAGTTGCAGTAAAGCAAATAGTCGACGAATACTGAAGAGAGGAACTGGAGGAGTTTTAACTCCATCAAGCTCGGAACATTTCTTGCTTGTAATCAATCAGTTGTTGCTGATACTAAAAACCTATGATTATCTCGCTCGCTCGTTCATTTATTACAAATTTACCTCCTTACCCAACGAGTCACAAGGAGTTTCACATCAAAGTCTTCAAAAACGTTCGTTGAGTATAATAAATGGATAATACAATAACTTCATTTGTTAATAGAAAAAAGTCCATAAAAAATTCATGGGAAAAAATAATCTAATAAGTACAAGCGCCATCGTGAATATATAGCCTCAGAAAAACTACACCTCTAGTAGCTAAATTGGGATAAAAATCTATCTCTATACGAAAATTAGTAATGGGTTGAAAACGAGAAAAAATTAATCCGCTCAGTCGGTAGCCGATATATGATCGAATTTTCTTTTTTAGCGTCATCGTCTTTCTCATACATAAATGCGCACGTGGGGTTGTCGAAGCTATGAATAGAAACTAGAAGTGAAAGAGACAGGAGAGAGACTGCGGTCCTAGGTGCAATCGTGAATCAGCCTATAATACTCGAGAATGGGTAGGTAGTACTTGCCCCGGCGTGTCTGTAATTCACGCCAGAGCTAAGAGCCGATGTCGTAACTACAGATCCCAAGGGTACTTGTAATTCGCAAAAGTAGGTGAGGCTTGAGACGTCATTCGGTCATTGTACATTGACTCTGTATGTGCATACGTACATTCAAATCTGCGTGCAAGCAAATCCGCTTACACCGTCGTCGTGCAGATAAGAATTGGAATGCAGTGACTGCAGGGGCTGCTGGAAATCAAGACACGAGACTTCGCTACGTGTGGTTAAATCTTATACAAATTTACGAGAAACTGCATTGCAAGTATCAAATTGCATCCTAGCCTATAACACTAAAATCAGCAAAATAAGTTCACTGAATGGCTTTAATTGTTTCATTGCCGATTGTAAAAGAAAACATTGGATTGCAAGCTCGTAAAGTATATTGTTTTAGCGTCATAAAAAGATGAAACGAGATAGGTTACAGGGGGATAACAAAAAATGAAATCTCACTCAGCAAACAATAAATGCATCTAAATACATGACATCGGCTGTATGCTTTGTAATGCGGTGCTGATTTAGATACAACGGATGCAGGGCAATGTGACGTACACAATATAAAATACGTAGAATAAGAAGAAAAAGAATGTAGTATAGAAAATAAACGCAATAGGAGAATGAAAGTAGCGCACGTGTAGCATGAAAGCTGGACGAAGGTTTAAGAAAAATAAGAAAGAGAGCGAGTGGTCGAGATTTATAGGAAAGAGTTGCTTGTATGGTGAAGAAAACGTCAGCATCATACACGTGCGTGGATAGAAGCGCAAACAACGGCTTCAACTTCTCTATACCAGCCCGCTCCGACGCTAAGACCTCGGGTCTGTCAAATTCAGGATATATATAGCTAGCTCGACCAAGAGAGAGAGAGAGAGAGAGAGAGAGAGAGAGAGAGAGAGAGAGAGAGAGAGGGAGCTTGCGAGCTGTTACAGAGACAGAAAAAAAGGGAGACAAAGTAACGAGATAGCCAAGGCGCCTCACTCGGCAGAATTCTCGAGATTAACCCCCTCCGGGCGCGATAAGGATACAACGCGAGCCAGGCTAGAGCGCCAGAGCGAGTGAAATCCCCTCCACGTCTAGACCGATGTTATGGATTATTATCCGTCTTTGACTTTGTACACGAGCTTGTATATTAGAAAAGTGATGGACAGCTTTGGGTCACTCGTGAAAGCTTTGTTGCTTGATATTGAGCAATACCAGGGAACATCGCTCTCCGCGTAACGCGTCTGCAATAGGACGACCCAATTCTTGCTGCATTTTTCATATTAGATGGCCGCAATGACTTATTTTGTAGTATTTATGCGTCTGATGCGAAATGAAGACAGCATATTATGCACGTTGGGCACACAGCACAGCCACAACGAAGTGGCAGCTGCACTCGCCACTAGAAATTCTAATGTGCGCGAATCATTAAAGCGAAAAACCGGCCGAGATTTTCTTGCGGGTACATCAGGGGCTGCGAAATTAAATACTTGTCTCGTTTTTTGCGTTGTGTATAATCTTCATCTCGTTAAAAAAATCCTTAAACAAGTTCACTCGCTGCAGAGCTTGCAGCGAAGGCAGTAGCAGCTCGAATTCTTTGTTCAGCTCGCGGGCATACTTCCAGTCTCATGGGTTGTAAAAAAGCTTGCTCGCTCTCACGGAGCTGGTCACTCGTGTGCGCACTGCAACAACCAACTTGCATGAGAAATTCT